TGAATACAGAGATATGGCTTTATTTGAGATGGAGCTGTTGTTAATTATCTTTCAGAAATGCAAACCTGTACATTTCTTTAGGAAGAACACCAGAGGTCAAACATTTTGTCAACTGAACTGCTGTGATCTAAATTATTTCTGAAGTAACCTGAGATTTTAAAGGGGTCATATGACGTTGCTAAAAAGAACATTATGTTGTGTATTCGGTGTAATGCAATGTGTTTATACAGTTTAAGGTAAAAAAAAACACTTTATTTTCCACATAATGTACATTATTGTTGCTCCTCTATGCCCTGCCTTTCTTAAACGCGTCGATTTTTACAAAGCTCATCGTTCTCTCATCGCTCTGAAAAGCGAGGTGTGCTGTGATTGGCCAGCTATCCAGTGCGAGTGCGTTGTGATTGGCTGAATACCTCAAGCGTGTGACGGAAATGTTACACCCCTTACCATATCCAGCCGGAGCGATGAGACAAAAACATTAAAACCCATTATAAACGAGGCATTTGTTGCATCCAGTGGGGACACAATTACTGATTATAATGACTTATACTGTCTTTTTATACGTTGCGTTGTGTATCACGCTGTGTAAACATAAAACCATGTCTGGAGAAACGACAAACAACAAGCTCTACTCCACACTGCTCAAATTCTTTAAATATAAAAAAACGTACTTACAGGCTGTGAGTCAGAAGCGCCAGACTGTCCTTGCAAAGTTGAAACTGCCCCACTTTATAGAAACAGACACCGGCATTGTAGGCTACTCTCCCAGGAAACAGTCCTCATCCTCCGCAAAATGCGCTGCACACATCTGAATATTTGGGTTGAACTGTTCTGGAACAGTGTTGTAAATACAACTTAACCACTGATTTCTAGTCGTGTCCTCTTTTGGAAGGCCAAACAAAGTAGTTTCGCTTTCACATCGAAACACACAGCGTCTCCACGACACGGCGACAACAATACTACAGCGAGAATAAAAGTTATGCCTTCTTTCTTTGCGTGAACATTTGGGCGGCGTTATGCAAATCTTCCCACATCGTGACGTAGGTATGTGGGGGCGTGTTAGAACGAGCCGTTTTAGGTAGGCGTGGTTGACTCTTAACTTTTATAAAGAATATCTCTTTGGTTTTGAGACTTTAGTCTTTGCAACTTTACGGATCTTCTTTATGCACCAAGAGCTTGTAACACTTCAAAGAGAAAGGAAAAATTAAAATCGCATCATATGACCCCTTTAAGTAATAATGTTTAGTTTTATAAATGAAATTATTAATTCAATTTAATTATTGACTTATATTTGTCAAATAGTATATAAAGTATTTTATTTTAATTGTATCACATTTTTAAGTTTGAAATTAATTTAAAAGAAATACTAACAATTTGTTATTTAAATTCAGTTAAATTATAAATATTGTATATACCAAAACACATTTGGACAATGAGTCCACATGTGGATTATATTAATTTGCATTAGATAACAAAATAAATATTTGAAGACTTTTTCTCAGAACTACCTTGCATAGACATTTCAATTACTTTTAACCAACTGGTTGCAAGGTCATTTTTACTGGATATATTTGATATAGCTCTTTTATTTTTGAGCATTATATTAATTGTTTTATAATTGGAAATAATACTAACTTTTTTTGTGGAACATTTTTTTTTTTTTTATTGACACAGTGACACCGATGTGTAATTAAAGCATCAAAATACTTAAGGGCCTCTATATACATTTAATAGAATTTATGTTGATTTAAATACATATTTTTATTCAGTTTAATTGAACATTATATTTTCTATAAAAGTGTTGCAAACCCTGGTCAGGAAACCCAGTGGTTGAGTTTAAATAATTAGTTTCGCACTTTGGTTGGAAATAAAACCTAATAGATGGGGATTTTGAGAAGTCTAATGTGTTGTTGTTCTCTTTGTCTCTGTCTCAGTGATTTTCTCAGTGCGCCGCATCCTCACATGTAGTCAGGATCATTTCAGCCGACTGCCCTCTCTCACACACTCTGTTACACACACATACACAATGTACGTGATCTGCACCATGTACTTCATGTGTACATGCACACACAAGCATGGACTGAAGATGCACCAGTTCTTTCGCATTCCTTTGTTAACTTACCTATGTTAACCTACGGAGGGAGAAAGTTATTGTCATTTGGAGAGTGACAGGGCTGGGTGATTTCTTACACCGCTTCCTGTTGACATGGTAACAGATCTGAAGGGGCAGCTGGAGCACAAAGTATGCAAAATAATATGCAGATATGCACTGAAATAATGCTTAAGTCAACAACCCTCTTCTAAGGAGAGACATAATGATAAAGTTTTAGCGATGGCACTGCGAAGACCACACAAGGATTACAGTCAATGGGAAGAAGCAGGACAACATATTATAATGATGTTATTGTCAGTGCTTGCTGACTGCGATTCACTCCTTTTTTATGAACATACAATAACAAACTTGACGACAATAACATGGACCTTATTTCAATTCTGAAATCCACTCAATGTAAACAGCAAGTTGTTTTAGGTTGAACTTGAATTGTGTACAATAAATGTCTTTATTTTTCTCCCAATTTAAATAATGATTTAAATTGCAGAATTTTATGCTGCCTTGGCATTAAAACTGATATTTTTATGGGATATATTGTGCTTGTGCTGTTGTGTTTAGTTGATACTAATGCAACTCGGCTGCAATCAGAACCAAATGCGCTTTTGAAATGACAATTTTTCCCTCTCTAAATCCACAGATGTTTCATTATTTTAATGCATTTGGTTGATCAATACTAGTTTGCATGCCTGTTACTGGAAAAAGATTGTTGCACAGTCAAAAGATAACAAAACTGTATGAGAAAACCTGTCCTTTTCTAGGTTATGTGGGTTATATATTTTCTTTCAGTTTGCACATTACAAAAAAATAAACAAAATAAAATTAATTATTGCCATAATATGTTGAATACCAAAATGCTAAAAGATGTGACAAATGCTAAAAGAATGACTCTGCTCACCAAGGCTGCTTTATAATTGATCAGTAGTACAGTAAAAACAGTAATATTGTTAAATATTATTACAATAAGTTTTTAATATATATTTAATATATTTTAAACTTTAATTTATTCCTGTGATGGCAAAACTGAATTTTCAGCAGTCATTACTCCAGTCTTCAGTGCCACATGATCCTAATCATTCTAATATGCTGATTTGGTGCTCAAAAATATTTTTAATTATTGTCAATGTTGACAACAGTTGTGCTGCTTAATATTTTTTGTGGGAAAACATGATGCATTTTCAGGCTCCTTTGATTAATAGAAAGTTCAAAAGAATAGCATTTATTTTAAATAGAAATGTTTTGTAACATTTTAAATGTCTTTACTGTCACTTTTGATCAATTTAATGTCTCCTTGCTGAATAAAAATATAAATCTTTCATAAAAAAGAAAAAAAAAAATCTTACTGACCCTAAAATTTAGAACTTTCTTTAACAAGCCCATTCTAATTGATCCAAAATTCACTTTTAGTGTATCTCGCAATGTAATTGTGTCCTTTAATTTGGTAAAATATGTGTAATGGATTTCAACATGCACAAAGTAAATGAGGCAATACTCAAGTTAAGGACTTGGATACCAAGATCCATGACTCTACGAAACATTGAGCAATAATGACATATCTTTGATTTTCTAACATCTTGTCATGTAAATATGATAAATATATTTTATTCACTGCACTGACCATTTGATAATTCTTATCTGCATATTTAAATTTATTTTCACTGTAATACAGACCCTTTAAGATTCAAAATCTGCTGTATTGTTGCTCTGTGTGTCAGGCTGTTTTTAATTAAAATTTTCTGCTCAAGTATTTTTTTCTAGGGGTGATAATGGTAACAAGGTCATGTGTGCATGCAAGCTTCAATCGTAGATCTAGGCTCTCTGCTTATGTTATTCTCAGAAAGAAATTGTATCACAATAATTTTAATACGTTTTCTTGCATGCACTGAAAGAAAAACAACAAAAATGTAGAAATGATCATTTTAGCAAGATCACCAGGTCCTGGAGAAGTGCAATAATATTATCTAAAGGTGAAGGACAACCATATGTAAGACCCCCCAACGTAAAAATGGACCACAGAATATTTGGACGTTACTGCTCTGAACACAGATTTAATTCTGCCATCTTTGTTGATGTTGACCAAATTTTGCATATTTGAATTCAACAAATTTTTTTTATTTTTTATAATGAAATTCAATATTGTCCAGTTATTTCAACAACACCTGTTACTTTTTGCAAACTGTATCATGAGTGGTTTACAATGTTTGTTTTCATCCAAGCTGCTAAACCTTACTGGACACATGCACAGATGTAAGTACAGTATGTTTGTTTGTTTGTAAACAATAAAGGACTGGAAATGTATTGCTTTCTGATATCCATTCATTACAAGGCTTTTATACAAAATTTCATTTTTTTAGTTTGTTTACAGCAGAATTTTTTTTTAATAATAAATAAAATGATATATATAGTAGGGTATAATAACTAAGGGAGGCACTTTGAAAAAAGAAATAATAAAAAAAAAGAAAACCTTACACTTGGTTTTCTACTTTTGGAATATAACAATTTGGAGAAAAGTTTCCACTATTAAAAGTTAAACAATAAAGGACTGGAAATGTATTGCTTTCTGATATCCATTCATTACAAGGCTTTTATACAAAATTTCATTTTTTTAGTTTGTTTACAGCAGAATTTTTTTTTTTAATAATAAATAAAATGATATATATAGTAGGGTATAATAACTAAGGGAGGCACTTTGAAAAAAGAAATAATAAAAAAAAAAGAAAACCTTACACTTGGTTTTCTACTTTTGGAATATAACAATTTGGAGAAAAGTTTCCACTATTAAAAGTTGTAATATCATTGCACTTGCTGCACCCATAGTACGGCAGCAAAATTCCTTGATTATTACGCTGGAATGAGAGTATAGTTCCTAGCCATATCGACCTAGAAAGATCTCCGTTATAATCGGTCACAACAGCCACTCTCAAAAGTAAAATGCACAAAAATTGAGAATTTACACCAACTGATGCATAAATACCTCTGTAAACTGAAGTTCTGACTAAAGGAAGTTTCAATAAATGTGTCTCGGATGACCAACAAATTGAATTTGCATAATGAAACCATGATAATTGATAATTGAGTATGTGCATGTGAAAGTAACAGGGATTTAAAGCATACTACAATGTAAGTGCACATGGAAGAGTTAGTTTTTTTTGTGTGTATGTTGTGGGTACACTACAGTAATGAATTTTAAGGAGGCTCCATATGGTGTTGTTATGCATAGAGAGAGAAACCTGAATCTGAATCAGGTAAAGCCAGTCAAGGCACACCAGCACACTGGGAAAGGTTCAGGAACAGGCAAGCAGAGTCAGTGGACACCGTCAAACCATCATGTTGCCCACTCCCTCATTCACGTGGTTCATTAGGTGGCGGGATCTTGACGTCAGATGGTTCTACGCCCCAAATCTCACGTGCGTACTCTGCGATGGTGCGGTCGCTGGAGAACTTTCCAGAAGCAGCAATGTTTCGGATTACCTTTCTGGTCCATTCTTTTGGATTCTGAAGAAAAGAGTGGAATTTTACACATAATGAAGTCTTAAAAAAAAAAAAAAAATTTTTTTTAAAAAGCTTTAAAAACAACAACAACAACAACAACAACAAAAAACAGCTGCTATTGGAAAACAGCTGTGCAAGCAGTTTTACCAACATGTCCATTCATCAAGGTCATTTATACATTTTGAGTAGTGGTAGACTGATTTATAGTCTTAAGTAATGTAGCTCAATCAGCCAATAAAATAATGGTCTTTTTGAGATTAATCACCATCAGCTAACAATTAACACAAGTGTTAGCGCCCCCTTGTGTCAGATACAAACACATTTTCTGTTCTCAAATATTTTAGTTTATAATATATAATTAAAAATTGAAAAATGTTAAATCTATATAGATAAATAATTTTTGTAAATGTTTTATTACATATTACATTGATTTTTATATTAAAATGGAATAATTAAATAATTTTCAATGACCAGATATTACTACTGACACCCTAGGCTCAGCCACTGAAAAGCCCATACTCACCCTGTAGAGTTCATTAACTTTTTCTTGACAGCTGATATATGCTTCATAGTCTGCAAAAACCTTGAACCTGAGAGAGAAAAACAGAAGTCAGACACCTCTTACTAAAGAGAAAATAAATCTGATAATTGTTGCATAAAACAGCTATGAATTTTATAAACATCAATATATTAGGGTAAAATTTAAAACTAAAACCAAGTATCCTCATTCATATATATATATATATATATATATATATATATATATAT